CCCCAAAACCCCAAAACCCCAAAACCCCAAAACCCCTTAATTGGATTTAGAATTTGAAGAATCTGATAATTAATTTGGTGAAAATTCTTGATGAGTAAAGTAAAAGTAACAGTCATCAGAAAACCAAAATGGATGGGTAGTAGGGCAAGGATGGAAGTCCATAATTTTCATCCCCCAACGAGGTCATTACATTACTAGTTGCTAATCTCCAGCTCAGAGGCTCTTGTTTGATATAAATTTTCTTCGGGAAGCCTTCATCTACTATTTTTGCAGATGCATGAAGCCCCTGAAATTGGGAAACATATGTTCACGACTAGTTCATAGGTGTTAAATTTTGTGTAGAATTCAGAATAAAAGCATAAAAATCACACTAATTATTAGAAGACGTGGCTAAAAATTGAGAGAGGAAGCCTGGCTTAGTAAAATCCCGGGAAATAATATTTAGAGATCCCGAAATTTGTTATTTAATTTGATTTCATCTCCTCATTTATCACAAGAGTATCAGAAAAATTAGAGAGGCTCAGGTCTCTATATTTCCATCGTAACAGTCTCAGATCCAATGAGGAAAGATTGAAATCAAACATAAACTTTTAGCCCCAAATATTAGTGACATAGACCATGCTAAAATAGAAGGGAAATACTGTATACGAATTCATAGCTACCTGTTTCTCAGAAGAAGATCATCCTACAGAACATTTTCCTGCTGGAAGAGATCACTTCCTGCAGTATTTGACAATCCTTTACATAAGATGGTTTTTATAAAGATTAGGTACAAATTATTTATAATAGGATATCATAGATTCATATCATCGCTGATGAATCATACTGAGTTCTTTGAGGTCAAAGAAAGTTTCTTACTGGGATGCTGAAAGCATCCCAGTAAAATCAGCCTCCTTGATCTTGTTTAGCTGGAGGAACTCGTCGATGCATTTTTCTTTGGAAGGCTATTAAAAGTTAACGAAGGTACATTAGCTGGTGAAGTGTGAAAATTACATTAAAATCCTTACTTTCGTTCAAGAGAATATCTTCCCTTGGAGTAAGTTGAGCTCAGTATCTCCTGGGCTCTTCTCAGCAGAAGTGAGAGAAGTATCTCTTGTGGATAGTTGGCATTTGGGTGACTCGAGTTTTAGTTTGGCATGCTTTCACCTCAACCAGAGAGACTTTCCAGACCAACGAAGAAACCGGAGTCTCTCGCTTTGAGAGGATGAAAGGAACCTCTGGCTAATCTTTTTGTCAGATCTGTAAGCTTTATCATTTGCACTGAGCTGTATTTCTTTGTTCATTTAATAAGTATTCGAAAATGATATGGTTTATCTAAATATTAATTTTCATTGCGTATGAATAACTTAGGGGTTTTGGGGTTTTGGGGTTTTGGGGTTTTGGGG